ATAATTAAATAATAATATACTATATAACGACTAGTATTTATTATATATATATATATATATATATATATTGATTTAAAATTAAATAATTAATAATAACGGATTTATTTGTTTCCAAAAGACGATTTTAAGTCTGCACAACGATTTGATGATTGCCGCAGAGAACTTAGGATCTTTATATTCGTTATCGTTGCTCCTTTGGCTTGGCAATTTAACATTACATACTATCAACAGCATGTACTTCATAATCAAGTGGATACTTATAAATAATTGGGATCGGGTGACATGGCCATTAACTTTCTGCTTAAGCAATTGGTTGTTTGGATTTCTCTTACAGCTTGTATTGCTTCATATTGCCTGTGATTTCACCTCTTCTCAAGTAAAACTTTCCTATTGATACAAAGTAAAATGTCATCTTACACTTAGATAACAAAATAAACAATATCGAGATAATAGCAATTAAAATTAACAAGAATTTATACTTATAATTATATGTTATCCATACATGCAAACTTTAAATATTATTGCATGAAATAGTACATATGTATGCTGATAATAAATTTATATATATATCTTTTGATATTATAGTGGAATGTTAATTTTTTACATAAATATAAATAGAATAATATACTTTTAATAAACTAACGTGACTTGTTTTAGGCTAATTGTATGGGTTCGATTTTAATCGAGTGGCAAGTAAGAATGATAAAAAATGAAGTGAGTAGATAATAATCATTTAAACTTTTTAGTTTGTTTCAATAAAAATTAAGACAAATCAAGATGATTGAAATTCTGTTTGTTTTAATGTTGTTCAATTTTATTTTTCCTTGAAGTTTTTGACACTGTGTGTTATTATATTTTATATATAACAGTCATTTTAATATGATTATAATAGAATATATGTATATTATGGTCATATAGAATATATGACTATATTATATATGATTATAGTATATTATAGTCAAATTCTTTGAATGCAGGATTGCATCGAATTATTATTGCAATTTCTAAATCGAAGACTTCAATTCTCCGCTGGTGGATGCTTTTACGTGAATTTGCCATTATTACGTTCGGTATGTAAAAAATCAAAGCAATGCAAAATACCCTATATATAAATTATGAAAAAATATATTTTTAAATTATATAAATGTACAAATTA